AAATCCTCATGCAGTAAATCATGAAAAACTGGAAAAGTCTATATTGTTGAATAAAGAAATATTGTTGTGAACAATGGGGGGCCTTGGAGTCAAAAAGGTTGAGATGCGCCGAGTTAGATTATTTCTAACAAACACATAAACACAGCTGTGCCAGTGCGTGTGAGAGGTCCGCAGGTTTTTGCATGTATTGTAGTGTGTGTTTTTTCCTCTCACACACTCGTCTCAACGGACTTTTCATTCTCAATCAGTGCAGTGCCATCATTAGGTTTGTTTGGCTTGCTCATGACATTCAAAAGCACCTTTGAATCCGCAGCCGTTTGAGACCGACCACCTGATGATGGGCAGCTACTGCTTTAATTATTCCATCAGTGATGAGAGCCGTTGTAATTTAGCTCATGGAAGTAAGGCATTCAATTATGGGAATTAATCAGGCACTGTGAGTTTTGCCTTCACTTCGGTGCTGGACCTTGAGTTGTTGAACATCGCCCTCTTGTGGTTTTCTCTTGTCCTGCCTGCTGAAGAGGAGCTTTCGTTTGACTTTACCTCTTGCAAGTGAAGAAACTGCTATTGAGAGAGAGTATTAAGAGCATTTGTGACCCGGGAGCACAAAAGCAATCTTAAGTCGCTGGGGTATATTTGTAGCAATAGCTAACAATACATTGTATGGGTCAAAATTATCAATTTTTCTGTTATGCCAAAAATCATTAGGATATTAAGATCATGTTCCATGAAGATATTTTGTAAATTTCCTACCGTAAATATATCAAAACTTAATTTTTGATTAGTAATATGCATTGCTAAGAACTTCATTTGAACAACTTTAAAGATGATTTTCTCAATATTTAGATTTTTTTTGCACCCTCAGATTCCAGATTTTCAAATAGTTGTATCTCGACCAAATATTGTCCTATCCTAACAAACCATACATCAATGGAAAGATTATTTATTCAGTTTTCAGATGATATATTAATCTCAATTTCGAAAAATTGACCCTTATGACAGGTTTTGTGCTCCAGGGTCACATATGATGATGCTGGATATCTGTTTTTGCACACATGTTAACCTCCTGGTTTCTTATAAATGTATTCACATCTAAATCTACATTCATTCATGTTTAATAAAAAACAGAATCCGTTTAGTCCTTTAGGATGGCAGGGAAAGACAAAATATGTCTCTCTCTCTCTCTCTCTCTCTCTCTCTGTGTCTCTCTGTCTGTGGTCAAGACTGCTATAAGGCTTGTGTAATGCGGCGACAATAGACTCTAAATTAATTTTGTGGATAATGTGTCAATATTAAATGTCAACTTTGACCTGGCCTTGTGCTGATCGTGTCTGGCAGAGATGTCTCTCCGACAGCGCTATCGATTTTCTGCTATCTGCTCGGCACGGGCCCCTCTCTCAAAGTCCATTATTTTTGATTTTCCTATGAAATACATATCTTTCCTCACTGACATCTGACAAACAGCATATGGAAGTCATTTTATCTACCAATAATGTGTTTGTCAAAAAGTATGAGGCATTAATGGAATTCCGGGCCAAGGATAGGTTGTCACTGATATATCTGGGTGGGTTTGTGTCTGTGTATCAGTCATTAAGATGTTCGGTACACACACACACACACACACACACACACACAGGAGGAGTAATAAGTGTGTGATTGAGAGCCAGTGGACTGCTGTCATCTTAAGGACGGTCTGTAGGCTCCTAGAGGATATTGCACCTCCGTTTTGCCTCATGCTCAAGTATGTGTATTTTTGAGAAGGCAAACTGTTATCAGTGTGTATGGACACATGCCTGACATTGTTTGGGCTCATTTTATTGCAGGTTTGTTTCTCGGAGCATGTGTGTGTTGTCTGACACACGTTAGTGTTTTTATTATGTGTGTGTTACAGTAACAAATCAATGTGTATATGGATGTTACTTTAATGAAACTAGATATTCATTAGAATGAGTCTCTGTAGACATTTTCAACTGTTTGCCAGGAAAGAATGACAGTGCTACAGTGTTTAAGTTATGTTCATAAGCCGTATGATAAGTCAAAGTGTGTGTGTTGTGTGTGAGAGAGAGAGAGCGAGCGAGCGAGTGTTTCTGCTAACAGAGAGAAACCAGAGCAAATATTCATTTATTCATTAAACGAGCAGAGCGAGAAGATGTGTTGTGACAGTTGCTCCCTGGCAGTTAATGGATGAAATTAATTCCTCTCATTAGCGCAGGGATCTGTGTGTGTGTGTGTGTGTGTGTGTGAGCGTGAGAGCATGCTTCCTACCTAATAGTGTTTGTTTCTGAGCATTTTCATGCATATGTGTGGAGAGAGATTAAATTGTGGGTGAATTTGAGTATCAGTAATACATTGTGTTTTATGTTTTAGGATGTCTTCATTTAGAGTCACACAAACAACAGCGCTGATGTTGTGAATAACAGCACAGCTGTGGCTGTAGGTAATCACAGCTTATAGTTCAATAAACAAAAAGTTAATATGGAGTAACAAATATTACAAGTTACCCTGTTTGTTTATGAAAATAGCACTGAGCAATATCACATTAGGTCTTTATTTCCTGAATAAATGTGTAGAGTGAGATAATGTGCATATGAAGTCAACAGAAGATCTGTTTACTGTGAAGAGCCTTAGAATTTATTACTTTTTTTCTTGAAATCTCCTTAAAATTCTGTCTCTCCTGATAATTATATATGCATTGCATAGTCAACATACTGATATTCTAAAACCATTGATCTCTGTATATGACTGGGTTGATTATGGAATTCTGAACACATTTTATTTTCTTTCAATAGTCCACTTTAGACGTTCTACGAACTATAAGTAACTTTACAACTACATGTCAACTAACTCTCATTAGAGTGTTAGTAGGGTTAGTAGAATAATTTGACATACTTGCAAAGTTACTTACAGTCAGTAGAATGTGCAATATCGAAATAAAGTGTTGCGTACTACACTGTCAGCGATCATCGAAGCTATAAAAGGTTTTAGTGTCATATTAATAAGCTCAACCACCAGAGGGCATCAACGACGGACAAAATGACAAGGTGTTCTGTGTATCAGTCCAAGCCAAAATACATTATTTCTGTGTCTATGTGTAATCATGAACATATGTATCTCCTGATATGATTGTTAGGAGACATTGATTTGAATACAATATACAGCAAATACCGGAATAAGAGCCTGTGACTCGATATTGCATTAAAATTCAGAGTTGTTTACCATGCATCATTTTAGCTGGTATAACAGCATACATGCTTCAAAAACATGCATCACATCTTCAAGCCAATACATAACGCTGGCTGTTTTCTGAGCGAGTTGTGAAGCTTGTCTGTGTTTTCTGTTGTCTTCTCATTGACCAGCGTCCATTTCAGACTCTACTTCTAGAAAAGAAGAAGAATTAAAGAGCTACAGACTGGAAAGCACAAATTTGTTGGTTTTTTACTTGTCGATCGCTATTTGTTGAATTAGGTTAATTTTACCAACCAATTTAAACGAATTTTTAGGTTATCTTAAGTGATGCCAACAACTTTGATTCATATGCCTTAATAAAAATCAACATCACAACACAATTGCATAAACCTCACTGAATAACTCCAAACCAATGAGTTTGTGCATAACTTCAAAATGTTAGAATAAATAAATCTGTATTCAGAGTAAATTATCTGTTGATGAAGATGAACCTCGCCGGCTTTCACTTTCAATAAGCAGGATAAATTCTCAACTATAAAAAATGCTTAGCAAGTAGGGAGACTTGGGATTTAAAAGCTGGGGTAATGTTTACTCCGTGAAATCAGGTGATTTCCTAAGACTGTTGGGAACATGTGGGAACACCAATACACAGTTGCTTCAGTGTTATCACGTCATGAGCAATCAAGAAACCAAAAAGGACAATTTGGGACCAGTTTTCACTATTAACTGGTTGTTTATTAGCATGCCTATTATTAACATATTGGCTGTTTATTAGTGCTTATAAAGCACATATTCTGCATGATCATATTCTACATCCCTAATCCTACCCAGTACCTAAACTTAACAACTACCTTACTAACTATTAATAAGCAGCAAATTAGGAGTTTACTGAGGCAAAGTCATAGTTAATGAGGAGAATTGTACCTTAAAATAAAGTGTGACCGACAATTCTTATTTTGACCCTACATTCTTTTTCCTCATTCAAGAAACTGTTTTACTCTGATATACATCACAATTGGGAAGTAAAGAGGATCACAACTTATCATAACTTATCATTATAAGGTATCATAATTATTGATCCACATATACTAATATGTGACCATGGACCACAAAACCAGTCTTAAGTGTCAATTTTTCAAAATTGAGATTTATACATCATCTGAAAGCCGAATAAATAATCTTTCCATTGATGTATGGTTTGTTAGGATAGGACAATATTTGGCTGAGATACAACTATTTGAAAATCTGGAATCTGAGGGTGCAAAAAAATCTAAATATTGAGAAAATCATCTTTAAAGTTGTCCAAATGAAGTTCTTAGCAATGCATATTACTAATCAAACATTACGTTTTGATATATTTACGGTAGGAAATTTACAAAATATCTTCTTGGAACATAATCTTTACTTAATGTCCTAATGATTTTTGGCATAAAAGAAAAATGTATAATTTTGACACATACAATGTATGTACAATGTACAAAGGGCACTTAACACAACAGAGACCAGTCATGTTTCTAGACAAGCTGTCTGGTACTATGTACTGTGTGTTCTTGCTTGTTTGGAGAGTATGCGGTTGTTTGCTGGAGACATACTGAAGCTGAAGAGAAGGGTAATGGGACTGTCCCATGAGCACAGCTGCTTTAATGTGGCACATGCACTTCAGACTCAACAGTATCCAGTAGATTGACGCTGTTATTCACCAAGAGATGAATCGATCAGCATGATGTTTTTCTGTGTCTGTGGTTTGTGACCGTCTGACCTGCCCCGCTGACCTCTCGCCGGTCCACTCACCGCTCTGTTTTTTGTTCCTCTAGAGCAAATGTCTCTCGCCGAGCAGGTGAGGAGGATAAAGGATATCGAGGCCATTGAGAGCGACTCCTTTGTTCCTCAGGCTTTCAAATCATCTCGGGATGGCACCAAGGTACATCTCTGCCTCTCTCCCTCTCTATTCTCTTTGCCTTCCTTCTCATATATATTCTTTTATTTGATTTCTTTTCGCCGAGTTACTTTCCGTTTGTCTGCAAATGAAATGATTGCCATTATATCTCGTTTGGTCTGTGGCACCTGTCCTCTTGAAAAGCGTCCGGCCGCCGGTGGAGAGCATTACTGAAGAGCATTCACATTCACCGCTCAAATTAGATTACTAACAAATGCTCACAGATCTCTGTGGTCTGAGACAAAAGGTGACAGTTGAAATGAACCCGTATGATAGATTGCACCAGAAGGACTGATCTCAGGACTCGGGTCTGTCTGTACGGACTTCAGCGATGTACTGGAAACAGACCAGCACTTAACATCACTACGTTTATTTCTGAATGATGTCCCAGAGGGCATTCTTTGGACAAACACAAATACATAGATTAATGCACATTCGATTTTTTAATTCATTTCCGTTCCATGTACACTCTTAAAAATAAAAGTGCTTCACGATGCCATAGAAGAACCTTTTTGTCTAAATGGTTCCATAAAGAACCTTTAACATCTGAAGAACCTTTCTGTTTCACAAAAGCTTCTTTGTGGCGAAAGAAGGTTCTTCAGATTATAGAAAGGTAAGAAAGAGATGACATTCGATTTTTTAATTCATTTCAGTTCCATGTACTCTTAAAAATAAAAGTGCTTCACGATGCCACAGAAGAACCTTTTTGTCTAAATGGTTCCATAAAGAACCTTTAACATCTGAAGAACCTTTCTGTTTCACAAAAGCTTCTTTGTGGCGAAAGAAGGTTCTTCAGATTATAGAAAGGTAAGAAAGAGATGGTTCTTTAAAGAACCTTTGACTGAATGGTTCTTCTATGGCATCGCTGTGAAGAACCTTTTAAGCACCTTTGTTTTTAAGAGTGTAATTGGATGCTCTGAGCTCAGATAAAAAAGCACTATGCCAACTCTCACTTAACAGAGCATTGGTTTGAGGTGAAAGACAGGAGTCTGCTAGGCCTGTGCTGGATACAGATGTTATAAAGGACAAGGGACAGCAAGAGTGAGCACTGTTACGATTATACTGCCATCAGTTGTTTGTATTTAGAATTGCACTCGGCATCTCACTTTACACGGATCAAATTTACTTCATCTCTTGAGATAAAATAGTTCACTGAAAGCACTTCCTTCCGGTCCAAAAAGAGCCTTATTAAATCTGAAACAAGGTGCAAAGATCACTCGATGTCTGCAACTTACTAATTTCACACACTTTAAAATAATGTGTTATTGAAGGGGGTGTCAAAAACAGCAGCAAGAAGTCTGTTCAAATCAAAGGCATAGTTCAGCTATAAATTAAAATTCATGTCGTGACAAACCTGTATGCGTTTCTTTCTTCTGCGGAACACAAAAGAAGATATTTTAAGGAATGGTGGTAAGCGAACAGTTTGGTTTCTCTAAATATCTTCTTTTATGTTCCACAGAAGAAAAGAAAGTCATATGGGTTTTGAATAACACGAATTTTCATTTTTGGGTGAACTATCTCTAACCAAACACCCTAAACAAGCTAATCACGGTGTTCAGAATCACAGTACAGACAGGTGCGTTTAATTATGGTTGAAACTAAAGTCTGCAGGACACTGGAGCTGAAGAGCCCTGCTTTAAGGGGTCTAATTTATGACTAATTATAGCACCAAAAAAGAATGGATCTCAAGGATAAGATAAAGGCTACAAAAAAAAAAGTTAAGGAATGAGGCATTTCTCTTTTATTAAACAACTCGTCATGCAACGTGAATGTCTGGAATGCCGGAAAGATGAGTGCTCTGTGTGATTTCTTAAGGTTTTTGTAAATAATGTAAGTTTTTATTTGTAGGTGACTGACCTTTCAGAGATCAAGAAAGAGGCTATAAAAGAGGAAGATGCCCTTCTGCCCACATCCATCATGTACAATGACAGCAACGCCCTGGCTCACCCTAACGTAAGAGTGTTTTGTGTGTGTGTACCTGCTTCACCAGATTTGTACCAAGATATGAGCTATATCTGGCAAAACCTTCCAAAACCTCATTTTGGGGACATCTTAATTTGTCAAAACAAGGTAACACTTTAGTTTCCAATTCTGTTGAATAGCATGCATATTACTAGCATATTGGCTGTTTATTTAGTACTTATAAAACGGAGAGTTCCGGTTCTTGATTCTGATTGGCTGAGCCGCGTTCGAAGCTGTTGTAAATGACTCTACAAAGTAACATACACCTTTGTTTACGTCTGTGTGTTGCTCGGCAACCACTTTGTTGCAACCACAACTGATTCTGAGGAGCTACATTGTTTGGCGCGTTATTAGGCACGAAGCGAAGATTCACTGTAAACCACGGCTTCTTGGGGCTTATTGCTTTATTATAAAGCACCATGGTAGCCCATACCTAAACATAACAGCTACCTTACTAACTAATAATAAATTAGGAGTTTATTGATGCAAAAGTTGTAGTTAGTAGCTAGTTAATAGTGAGAACTGGTCCCCAAACTAAAGTGTGAACAAAACCCGTATAAAGTATTTTTAATTGTAAAAATGCAGAATGTTTCTGTTAGGGTGTAGGTTAGGTTATAGTATTTATAACTAGCTGTATATGAAAGAATAGAAGTCTATTGAATGTCCCTATCTAGATAACAAAGTATAGTAATTTTTTGATACTTTGGGGCCAAAGTCTCAATCCGCACGAGGAAAACGGTTTATAAATCGTACCAAATTGGAGAATCCTCATAAAACACAAAGGTAATTGCTCCGCCTCGTGAACCTCTCTAATTCTTTCTAGGAAAAATAGTATGTATTATTCACAACACGCATCAAATAAGACTCTGGTGTCGCGGGCGCAGCATCCGAAGTTACACTGAAGCCTCCCAAAAGGCCTCCGATCAATAATTCTCCTCTCCCAAGACTTATTTCCCCCCACCCTTGTAGAAATTGCCTATTTCTGAAGCTGCACTTCTTGACAACCCACTCAGGGCCCTTCTTATGCACCCTCAGTAATATTGGCAGGCAGAATTTCCTACGAAAGCGCGCTCCATCTCTCTCACTCGGCAAACTGGGTTACGTGTGACTGATGCAGATGAGCTCGACAGGCTGATCTATTGCTGCAATATGCCCAAGGCGAGAGAGCCCTGATCACCAGTAATGATTCAATCATTTAGCCACCACCACTTACTGTATCTACTGTAATTTCAAACTCGTTAGCCGCGCTTCGCTAGGTGCGTTAAGAGTCGGAGGAGGCTCGTCGTCGTGTTGCGGAATCGCCTACAAAAAGAAAAGGCAAGGGGAAGCAGACGATATACACCCTCAGTCTATTAGCGCTACATGTGCACATGTTTCCCAGGCAAACAGAGCCCAAACGAACGCTACGGGCGGACCCTAACCCGATGTAAATGACACGCTTATAATGCGCACGCGGCGGGATGGAAGCGATCAGTCTTTCCAAAGCCTAGATTTGATTTGGTGCCTCTCGTGTTTTTTGGATGAAGGAAATGAGTGATGAGTGTTGGAGAAGAATCCGGAACTTCCCAACTTAAGGAACTCATAAGCACAACTAATGTGGGAATCACTCAAATTCTCCCTTTACGCTGACATCCGAATCAAGCGCGCGTATTACCCTGTCTGATGTGTTTATGATGCAATACCATTTACACTTGCTCCAAATCTAATCGCAGCTGTGATTGTCCTATATTAAGCCAACCCAGACAATTAGAGCGCAGGCTTGGAATCCATTAGAAACCAATAGGAAAGATTTGTTTCAAAAGGGTTACTTGGGTTTCAGATCTATAGCATCAGGCCAAATCTGGGCTTCCTCCAGTGGAGTACACGAGGAGGGAATGTGAAATGGTGCACATGCAGACAGTCACAGATTATCTGATCTCAATAACAGCTCACTTCACTTTCTGTAGGAGGACTCTGTAACGTTCACAGAAAGGCATCACAGTGTTTACAGTAATAATATACAATGTATTTTGCATTTCTAATCCAATATAAGGTTCTTTCAGTTCTTAAAAAAAAAAAAACATCCTCCGTACACTTCAATCATTGCATTTGTCTTCAGCGTATTCTCTTGAATAGCTAAGAATCATACCGAAATGAATTGAACTGAACTGATGCAGATTTCATCATGTAGTAAAGAAAGAGAAATCATTTGATCAAGTGGTTTTAGAGCAAATATGTATCATCCCAACTAATCATAACAGCACTGACAGATTCATATTTTCTGTTGTTCTGCCTAATGAAGACATCAGTCTTACAACCTTCCCTGCGATCACTTCTGTGCGTGTGTGTGTGTGTGTGTGTGTGTGTGTGACCAAAACTATCAGACACGTGTTTCCTGTATTCACATCAGAATCATCCATTGCACACCTGTGAAAGAATATTAGGGAATAGAAAACAGTAACACTTTAGCTTAAAGGAGACATATTATGCCCCTTTTTACAATATGTAATATAAGTCTCTGGTGTCCCCAGAATGTGTCTGTGAAGTGTCAGCTCAAAATACCCCACAGATAATTTATGAACACATATTCACCATTAACTAGTTGCTTATTAGCAAGCATATTGCTAGCATATTGACTGTTTATTAGTACTTATAAAGCACAAATTAATGCCTTCAAGAGTATTAAAGTGTATTTTAGATCCCTTAACCCTATTGAATGCTTAAAGGGGTCATATGATGCGATTTCAAGTTTTCCTTTCTCTTTGGAGTGTTACAAGCTGTTCGTGAATAGATAAGATCCCTGAAGTTGCAAAGACTAAAGTCTCAAACCCAAAGAGATATTCTTTATAAAAGTTAATACTGGTGAAAATTAAGAGCTTATTGAGGGAAAATGGATTTGTCTATTTGTTTTAGAATATAGTCTCACCAGGAATAATCTTATTATTTTTTTAAACAAAAAACAAAAATGAAATAAAAAATAAGTCACACTTTAGTTTGAGGACCAGCTCTCAGCATTAACTATGACTTTTGCCACAAACTCTTAATTTGCTGCTTATCAATAGTTAGTAAGGTAGCTGTTAAGTTTAGGTTTGGAGTGGATTAAGGATCTAAAATATGCTCATGCAGAATAAGGCAATAATAATTGCTTTGTAAGTAATAAACAGCCAATATTCTAGTAATGCATGCTAATGAGCAACTAGTTAATAGTGAGAACTGATTCTTAAACTAAAGTGTTACTGAAAAATCGTATATCATATTGATATTATTTTAATGTGAGTTGGTTGTCAGTTGTTGTTGTTGTTTTATCACTACTTTGTTACTACTATTTGTTTCTTTTAAATATTGATCTTGCCATTAAAATAGCCATAGATGCTGGTATGGCAATAAAAATAAAAAATAAATATAGAATATAGTCATTTATGTGTGTTTTATGAGTACTAATATGTTAGTAATATGCATGCTAATATGCATCTTGTTAATAGTGAATATGTTTCCAAATTGAAAGTGTTACCAAAAAAAAATATATATATATATTAAAACAAAATTTTCATTCCTCTGACAAAAAGTCTAAGAAACTGTTCTCACTCTCTGAGCTCTATGAGTTTGGCACAGTGCAGTTTTGGCTGTTGCTGTAGTGATGCTCTGTGATGGACACAGAAGTGACGTTCTTTGTGATTGAATAGTCTGAATGAATTGAAGTTAACTAGCTCTCTCGCTCTCCTGCAGCTCTTCATGGATAAAGAGGAGGCAGAGAGCGTGTGGTTGAACAGACTGATCTCTCTGCGTCAGGAGAGGCTCATGGGGAGTCCAGTGTCCTGAGCAGATCCAGCTTCATCAGACCTGTGGACTCGCTGGAGTTCTCTGGGATTGCAGGAGCTAGTGCGCCACCTGCTGGTTTCTATGGGAAATATGATTCAGAATTACATTTCAGCATGTGCTTATTACTCTGATTCTTTGATTGTTTATTTTACTTCATACTAACTGATAATGGTAATATTAAGCTTTTAGGAGTGATTTACACAAAACTTGTCCTTTTTTAGGTTTGAGCAGACATCCTTCTCATCAACACGAATGACAATTGTATTTAGTGTGTATTGGGGCTTTGTTGTTGCTGTTGTTCTTTTTTTCTCCTTTTTCAAAATAAATGATTGTTGTAAATCTTGGATTAAACTTTGTAGTCATAAAATGTTTATACGTAGTAAAGAACAGCTACGTGAAAACCTTTTGAGGAATCACTGTACAGTTTCTGCACCTGAGTGTTTGTCATTTTTAATGTTCTACAGTATTTTCATAATCAGACTTTAGTAAGTGAGGTACAGCTATGAGCTCGTTGCATATTTTGCAAACAGCCTTCTAGACTAAAACAGATTTATTTGACCTCTCTTAATACGGATATTCAGGGCCATCACTACAGTTGAGGTGATGATTGATGCATTTGATTAGGATAATTATATGATTATTTAAAATATTTCATATGAGAATTTTTTTTACTTTGTCATGTTTTCTAGGCTAATTTTAATTTCACTGATGCCATCGTTCTTTTTTTTTTTTAATATATATACAAGAAATATTTGATTTTGGATCACCTTTTCCCCACCTTTTGGATTATCTTTTTCTATACTAATATTCAGCTGTACTTAACGTGGTTATTTTTTGCTAAAACATTGTCACTACATTAACGTGTTAACACAATGGGGCGTTGAGGGGCTCGCTGATGCACAGTTCTCCGATGCCTAGAAACGGCCCTGCCGATATTGGCCAGTGTTGTTTATATGTGAAAATGTTTATCAGTGCATCTCTTGCTCGGATTCATACACACATACGTTTCTAAGGTTTCTTTGTGTTCACATACCCACATATCCATGCATCCTCTATCAGAGCTAAAGCTGCACGCGGTGCCCTCCGGTGGTCTGCAGCCCCACATGCAGGGGAGACCTCAGATGCTTGTACTACTTTTTTGCTTTAATGTCTGTGACTCAGCATTTGTGCTGTTTATCTCTTTGAATGGATGTTCTCACGTTTATCTGCTACCAAATGAGGTTGTTTTGTACACTTACCCCTAAACTCTGAAAGTTGGTGTCTTAACATCTACTTACTTTTGTTACAGCATGGCCCACTAGCGGATTGTAGCACATTAGAAATCATGTATATTAGTTAAGATTTTGTACATGCATTTATTTGGTTAAACAAATTACCTTGTTCATTGTTATTCAACCCATTCCTCCAAATGTCGGTTTATAAACTGTCCTTTTTTGCGCATTATATGTGACCCTGGAGCACAAAACCAGTCGTAAGGGTCAATTTTGTTAAATTGAGATTTATACGTAGTCTGAAAGCTGAATAAATAAGCTTTCCATTGATGTGTGGTTTGTTAGGATAGGACAATATAAGTGATTTATATATATATATAGGGTAAAATGGTGTTAGTCTTGACTTCACAGACTTCATTGTACAAAAGCAAGGTGGGGGTTACAGCCTATCTTGGATCTGCGAGTCTTGAACCAGGTCCTGCACAAGCTCCCTTTCAGGATGTTGACACAGAAATGCATTCTGAAATCCGATCGACCTGAAAGACGCATACATCCATGTCTCGATCTCTCTTCGACACAGGCTATTTTTTCAGTTTGCTTTCAATGTTCGGGCATACCAGTACAAGGTCCTCCGCTTTGGGCTGTCCCTGTCTCATGGAGGGTGACCGCCAACATGCTCTCACCTGGCTAGCCCACCCAGACCTGGTTCTCAGGTCCCTTCGTGACAGCCCTTCCCTGGTGAATTCCCCAGAGGAAGGACCACCATCTGGCACCTACATCCAGACTTCTGGATCCTCCACGAGTGGCTCCTGGACAGGACGCGGCGGACTTATCGCTCGAGCCAGAGCTCCCTCTAACAGGCAAGCTTATGCCTTGAAATGGTGTCTGTTTACTGAGTGGTGTTCTTCCCAACAGAAAGACCCATGGAGATGCCTGATCAGCTCTGTGCTTTCCGCTCTGCAAGAGAGGTTGGAGCGGAGTTTGTCCCCCTCCACCAACAAGTGTATGTCACTGCTGTCACGTCACATCACAACGCAGTGGACGGCGTGGGGAAGTCCTTGGGGAAGCACAATCTGATCATCAAGTTTCTGAGAGATGCCAGAAGGCTAAATCCTGTAATACCACACCTCTTCCCCTCTTGGGATCTCTCTGTGGTCCTTTCTTGTGTGCAGAGAGCTCCCTTTGAGGCTCTTGAGTCAGTCGAGCTTAAGATCCTGTCTTTAAAGACAGAGCTCACCTCCATCAAGCTTAACGCCGGGCTCAGTACTGCATGCCTGGTCGCTCATCTCCTGTACTGGGCTAGGTGCCCATATGGTTCCCTGTGTGGAATGAGCTTCATTTCATATGTAGTACTGTCCTGTGGGTCAGTCCATGTGTGTATCCTCCACATGTCACTTTCCTACAGGTAGGATGAGGTCTCCATAGTGGCCTATTTTTAGGTGTGCCTCCCCAGCATAAACCTGCTGTTCTTGGCTGTAAAAATACTCTTTCTAGTGGATATATATATATTTTTAAAGATTTCTGAAAAGTGAAAGCTTGTGAATAGTGGCTATGTCCTTCCCCATGGTAAGTAATGTCAATTCTGTCCAATGGTACGAGAGACTATGGGGCTTACACAGGGCACTGGGTTGTTTACAATCTTGTGCGTGCATTTGTACGCATTGTTGCATGTTTCCTGCGTTTTGTGCTGGACTCATATTTTGTAGTTTCCATGTTCCTTTAGTTCTGTGTTCACTCCTCCTGTTTGTTGTCAGTGTTACCCTTGTTAGTTGTCATGGTAATTAATTGTTCTCACAATATCATAGTTGAAGCTACATGGGAGACACTGAAAGGCAAAATAACTGCATGCAACATATAATGCGATATATTACATAATACGTTTCCATATATTGGAAACTATTGCTTATATTTTTCAATATCCAGCAATATGCATTGAAAATATATGGCTATGCATTGATACATACAAATATATTTAGAAATGGAGACAAAAAAAAATCGAATATTCATAACGTTTTATCCTTTATTGAGTATAAATTGCACATAGATGTTCCCGTACACATATATACACACATTCACACAATGAGTTACAGCAGATCTCTAGTTCCCAGCATGCTTTGCTTCTGACTGTTAAAGGAGAGTAAAAAAATTTTAAATTAAGTGTTATGTCGTATTTTTGCTGAGTATTAATATATGGGGAGATCTGTTAGTGTTTAATGTTGTATTATTTTGAAATGTAAAGTGCTTCTGGTGTGTGTAAGTCTGTGCAGAAGAGTAGAGTCTGTTCAGGAAGACGATTGGCCAAACACTGTTAAATTATATGTTACTTTATTTAAAAACCAATGGCGGTGCACTTGTCAGCACAGTCAGTGCTTTATTATGAGCAGGTGTGCTTTTGCTACTGTAAACTAGCTGTATTTTAAAATATAAAACATGTATATCATAAATTATTGTTGAGCTTAAAATATATATATATATATATATATATTTCCATATATGTGAATATATACTGCATGACTAAATATATATTCAGTATATATTTTTACACATGCAGTACCATATCTTATCACATGTACATCTATATATTATAATGTGTATTATATAAATGTGTATATAAAATTACATATTGTGATATATGAGTAAATATATTGTCACATATTTTTCAATATATGAAAGCGGCAATTCCTTATGTATTATTCATACTATTCTTTATAATTTCTAATATACCGTTATGTCATTTAATATCATTCATATATTAGGAAGTATATTTTCTTTACCTAAGGGACTGTTGTCAGGGGGAAATGTTGTGACCATCAAAGACCCAAGTGGACCACAATATAAAAGAAACATCTCATGTGTGAAGAAATACTTCAGTGAGGATGCAAATTACAGTCCAACTGAACAGCAAAACCAATCAGAGACAGGACCAGTCAAGTCACTGAATACTGAACAAATAATTCCTGATGAAATGCCAATCCAGAGAGAGCCACTAGGTGATGGTGTTGCTTCACAAATGTTACCACAGAGAGATTTAAACACTTTATTGTTGACTATGCCTGTTTGAGGAAATGACTGTGTTCTCAGAGTATACTATAAAGAGGCCAAAGTCATTATGTTCTCAAGTTAAAGGTAAAGTTAGAGGGTAAAGTAAAGTTATTTGTCTATTATTATGGGGTAAAAAAAGAAAGTTTATATTCTCAATTATCACGTGTTAATGATTCTTTGATATGTCATGTTGAATATGACAGTTGAGTATGTTCATGATTTTTACTATAGCACCAAAAGCACGTTTAGTGTGATGACAGTGTGTGAAACAAATAGAGTTGTTTTGTGTTTGATTTGTTTCAGTGTCTTTAGCTAGTTTTAAGATAAAATGATAATGTAATGCTTAATGTCTCCAAATCTATTCTGTTTAAGAAACAAACTAATTTACATATTGCATGGCCTGAGGGTGAGTACATTTTCAGCAAATTTTCATTTTTGGGTGAATTGTTTTTTTTTTACAAACTCGTGTCTGTCCATCAATCACCCGAGTGACACTGCTGTGGAGATAAGATGTTAAGTAAGGCTGTTCTGTGCCTGCATGTAGACAAACCCTTTCAAAATATTCAACTGTTATGAATACAAAAAAGGGCTGAAGTTCATTGAAGTCAGGGGCATGTGCTCCTGGAAAATTTTGATTTCACTGATCTACATATGTGCATATTAAGATGTTTGAGGGCCAGAAGCATAAATTATTTGTCAATCAAATAACCGATTCTAATGAGAATCAGGTTAAATGTTGCATTGATCCACACTACAAACTGGAGATATGTAAAAGGCTAGTTTATTGTTGACTATACACGATCACATATTCCAAAAAGAAATGACCTCAAATAAGAAATTCATTATATATAATTTCTTTATTTCTTCTGCCATTCGAGTTTGAGTTTTCATCATTTTGGATTGAAATTATATTAAGACTGGCGAAGATTGGCGAATGGGATCCAAAGTGTCAGGCGAGTGTTGCATGTTAGTGAGAGACAAGACCAGACAGTTAGGTGAAGGGGAGTTTAAAAATGATGCTATATTGATGTGTGCATGCCCAGTCGTTTTTGTTGAAAAAACCAGCATATGCTGGTTAGGTATGTTTTGATGCTGGTTTATGCTGGTC